GATTCGGAAACCTCCCCCGGTGATTGACTAGTACAGAGAGAGTACCCTTGATTTTTCAACAGATACTGTTATTGTTGCTTGGACTGAGCTTAATTTTGTTCTAGTCAATAAAGGAAAGTAAGGAAAGTAAAAGTTGAAGGAACCAAGGGTTGTAAGTGCAAAACGGTATGCATTCAGGTAAGTGAAATGTGAAATGAGAATGCAAAAGAAAGAAGATAAGCCCTTAAGGTAAAGATAGGAATAGTAGAGTATGCTAAAAAGCCTTAATAACGGTAGTGTCAGAAGAACCTGAAATGCCATGGTATAGTGAAATACCATAAACACTATTATGGTATTATCATAAAAGAATGTGCCTAAATAATGGAAAGAATGTGAGCAGACATGATGAAATACTTAAAAGCAAAAAGGTCATGCTTGTGTAGATGACAGAAAAGTATGGGATGATAGGACAAGTAAGCACAAATCCAAGATCAAAACCTACCAATGAGGCATAATGAAAAGTTGAAAAGGCTAAAGTTGAATATGAGTGGGGATATTCTCCTCAGTTACCCTCTCATTAAAAGCAATAATAGAGGTTTGGCTTGGAAATTTTGAGGACGAAATTTCTTTTGAGAGGGGGAGAATTGTAATATCCCAGGTTTTGGGCCTAAAAGTGCCAAAATTAGTCTGCAATGGGCAGGCTACCAGACCCCTTGTGGCAAGAGTCCAAAAAATTCCCTAAAAGGATAAAAGAATTCTCAAGGACTAAAATACAAAGTGAAAGTCTGCTGGGACTGAGAAAAGAGAAAGTTAGAGACTCGGGTGAAGTCTCAGAGCCCAGGAATGAGAAATAGAGATAAATATAGTCAAAAGGTTATGCTAGAGGCCTCAATGAGGTGAATTATAGGGTTAACCCAAAACAAGGGCAAAATCATAATTTTGTAAAGTTTCGGGTCGGAAGGATAAAAATGAAAATTATGCCTGAAAATTCCACAAAAATCCTAAAAAATAGAAAATGACATGTTAAGGCATGTATGTCCAAAAAAATGAAGAAAATATCCTTAAATTGACTCTAAATGAATTTTAAAGATTATGGCTCATTTTGAGTTATACAATAAGATTTAATTGTTTGAGCCATAATGAGGCCTTAAAAAAGTAAGTAAAAATAGGGATTCATGAGTTAAGAGGCTATAGAAAATTATAAAAGTAGTCTCATCCCTAGAAGGCTAATAGAATGGCTTTAAGAATATTTAAAACTCAGTTATGCCATTGAGGGTATTTTACGAAAAATTCAAAAAGAAAATACCTACAGGTTGAGTTATGGTTTGACAAAATTAATAAATCTTTTTCTTAATTAAAGGAAGTTTATGGTATAGATGGATAAATTTTTGGAGCTTTGAATTGAATAAATTAATTTAGTAAAAAATTAAATAATTTTTGTCCCCCTAAATAGGAGACAAAATTTAATAAAATATCTAAAGGCAATCATAAGGGCGCTGACTCAGCATGCTGAGTCACCAAGGTGTATTTATGATACTGCTGAGTCATCAAATAAGTCACCAGGAGATAATTATGGGTAGTAGAAAAATCAAAACATAATACGACTATGTTTTAGATAGTCCTCTATCTATACGATACAACGAAATCTCTACTGCGTGACTTAGTGAGGCTAAGTAGCCTGTTAGTAGAGCTAACTATTTTTTTCTATGTCCTTTGAGATGGTGCCATTTGTGGACCTATTTAAGATGAGAAAAGGATGCCAAAACATGTTGAAGAGAGCCTTTCGTCGTTCGCTTTGGGGTTCTCACTCAAAAATAAATCCAAGCTGTGCAGTATAATGCAAACTCGGGTCGTTTCACGCTTGGGAGCCTTAATTAATTACCTAAGTTAGACTAAATGCCATGCAAAGTAATGAAAAGGGGTTTTTGGGTTTTTAACATTTAAATGAATGGTGCCTAAACTGAATGCAATGAAAACAAATCTAAGATACTATGTTTTTGGAGTTTTTAAGATAATAATGATGTAATGGAAATGATTGATAAGAAATCTCTTGAAAATGGTTTTGATGGCAATCATAGTTCACTTAAATATTGGGAGTTTCACAAATCCATTAGGTTTTCTTAATAAGAATCTCATTAACTCAATGAGTCCAAAGCTTTCATTAATGAACTCATTAATGAAAACTTTGTTTAGCTTCCCTAATGTGTAAATTTGGAATGATCATGCAATTGGCTCAATGTAACATACAATCAACTCAGTACTGAAACATAACCATGCAAGATAGGAGAGAATCATGAGAGTTACAATAAGCATATATGCAACTACATATATTTAAGCACAATGTTCAACATCAATCAATCCAAATTACAAAAGTTAATCACTAACCAATGATTACATAATTAACCTAAGTGTCTAACTAAGACTTTACAACTTCTATACCTAGGAAATTATAAACACATAGCTAGAAACTAAAGATTAAAACTAAAACTCCCCTTTGAAGCTTGGAAACTCATGCTACTCCACCATCTTCAAGAGTTGAAAAGCTTAGCTCATCATAGCCTTGGAATCAGCTCCAACTAGAGGTAGATCTTCAGCCATAACAGTAAGGAGATGAAGGAAATGAAAATGGATGAAGAAGAAGTGCAGGAAAATGGAAGGTGAAGAAGATAGAGATGGAGGATTAGGGTTCTATGGGAAAGATGAGAAGAGATGATGATAGAAAACGTAAGTGGTGGCTCTCTCCTTATGTCTCACCTCACCCATACCCAAAATAGGGCTTTTAACCCGAAAATTGCGTGTATGGGTTGGTTCCTGGTGGTGGGTTGGTCAGAATTTCCCGAAATGGTCGGGTCTGAAATTTGCTGATATGAGGGGTTCATCACGGCGAACCATGGAAGAGAGCTTTGCTTCTTGACGGATGATGTTCGTCGCAGCGAAAATCAAAAGTGTGCCACAACGAACTGAGGCAGAGGCTCCTCTCTTGCTTCTTGTGCCTTGAGTCCTTCAATTCTGGCCCCAATCTCTAGTGTCCTACAATAAAAAGCAACAAATTGAAGTGTCAATTGTCCTAGAAATCAATTGAATACAATTAATAACCAATTATGACAATTTTATCCTAAAAAAGACACTAACTTAAAGTAAGGACTCTTAATCTAAATTAAGCACAATTATCATTAAAAAGGGCCAAAAAATACCACAAAATCATGGATAATGTAATGAAAAGATAATAAAAACTTGAGCTCAATTAAATTCCCCCACACTTAGACCTTTGAACTCCTGGACAAAGCTCAAGAATAATTCATAGAGATACTAGCACAAAGAGAAACACTACCATGCTTAAAGATGAAAGCAAAAGATTAGTAAGAAACTCTCACAGGGTTTGACATTAGTAAAACAAGGATATGCTAGGGAAAGGAACACAATAGACAATTAACTCAAAAGATTGATCAAAAGAGATCTATCTCATGGATAAGTGTTTCGCTCTAAACTCACTTGTTTTGGGATTATTTCACTCTAAATCTACTCAATCCAACTTCTACCATAGGCTTGTAATAATTCTACCTCTCTACCATGGGAAACAACTTTGCAAATCAAGAGGACTTCAGGAGTTAGAATTGGGAATGAAGGCCAATCGAAATGAATGGAATGAGAATGAAAATGGAAATGAGTACAAGCATACAAATTATTAAGATAGAATTAATCTAAATAAAAGCAAGGGGAGAAGCTACTTAGTTTTTGTTTTATGATAATAATTTTTTATATCTTTATCCTTTCTTTTCTTTTCTTTTCATTTTCTTTTTCTTTTTCTCTTTTTTTTTCCGATTTAAGCAACTTCTCTGTTTTTTTTTACAAAATAATTGCATGCATGTACTCAAGATGAAGGTCCAAAGGGGTTTACAATGGTAAAGGAATTGGGTTTGTGTTTGGGAAACGAGGATTTGAAATCGAATGCCTCTATCATATTTACAAAAATTGATTCACTAAGTTTTGATTAAGGATTAAAACAAGTTCTAGAGAAATATGAAATAAGCAGATTCACTCAATTTAATAACTTTAGGCCCAAAAATCCTTCCAACAAGGCTAAAATCTCAATTAATCAATCTCAAGGGTTAACAACCATATAGTCATAATTTCAAAGCATATCATCATTTACTATCTGTCAAAAATATGAGAATAACTAGCCCAAGTTCAACCCTTATTTAAAAGCATGGGAAGTTTTCTAAAAGCACTAGTACAATTTGGACTTTTCCAATAATTTTAAAAGAGATGCAGGAGCATAAAGAATCTAAGCCAGGAAAAATTTCTGAAGACCAGCTGAAATTGCAAAGAATTTATTATTTAAATAAATTTTTTTTAAGGGGGTTGCCGCGGCGAAGAATGGAGGTCACCGCAGCGAAGGCTCACAGAGAGCCAAACCTGGAGAAAGGCCCTACTTCACCGCCGCGAAGTGTGGCCGAGAGCTACATTAACGTGATAAAAAGGGGCTTCGCCACGGCGAAGGGTGGCAGAAAGCAAAATCCTGTGCAATTTCAACTCTTCAGTAAACCAAGTTCAAAATATTCACAATTCAACCAATTTATCAGTTCAAAAACACCTCAAAATCACATAGATGCATGGATACATGAGAATTATTTGCTAAAATCCACAATAGGTCCCTCCCCCACACTTAAACACAACATTGTCCTCAATGTGTGAACAATATGAATCAATGACAGCAAATACCAGAAATGAAGTGCAGGGGTGAAAATAAAGCAAAGATCATAACAAACCAATGAGAAAGCATCCATCTAAACAAGTTCAAAACTAATGGAGCACAAAAAAGGTTAAGAAATATCTAGCCTCAGAACAACAGAACAAACGAAAAAAAAGAAAACAACAGAAACATAGAGACTAAAAACTAAAGCTGCTGCCCAGGATCATCTGCCCCGGACCCTGACGGTCCTGCACCCAATGTGCCTGCTCCGTCCATACCCATACTGCTCTGTGGCTCCTCCTCCTCAGCTGGTAAGGCAAAGTTCAACCGGTCCGCGATCAAGGCATCAATACGGGGACGGTAGCGACGATCTCGCTCATACAATACATCACGGTCCTTTTGCCGCTTAATCTCTCGGAGTAGTGTAATGCATAACTGGTGAACATCCTCAGACAGCTCGTCAATGTCATCCATAAGTGCGTCTAAAGTGACTGGTTGGGAAGGCTCAGGAGCATCTTAGCCTTCCTCGGCTGGCTCAGCAGCTGCCTGGCCGGCACCAACATCATAAACAGGATGGATAGGAGGGTGGGGTCCAATAGTAGGCTGTTTGAGGCGCTCATACCGGAAGAGGGGTGCAGGATCGAAATAGCTGTCATTATCAAATTCAAGCACCCCGCACATGCGAAAAATGTCAGTGATAAGGTGGGGAAAAATGATGCTATTGGTGAGTTTAGGGGTGTTGACGGAATCGTAAAGGGCTGATTGGATAGTTTCAGCTACATCAAAAGTTTTTCCGGTCATGAGGAGATAAACGTAAAGGGCTTAGTGTTTAGGAAGGTTCTGGAGATGGGAAGTGGGCAAGATGTTGTTGTAGACCAAGTGCAACCACGGCCTTGCCTCAGGCTGGAAATCGGAGCATTTCAAGTAAAGCTCAGCATTGCGGGGACAATGCCAAGTGGCACCATCCCGGCACAGGGTCTGGACAATTTCATCAAAAGGGTAATTATCTCTGTAATACGAACAGTGGGAATGACGAACCTCAAGAAGGCAGTAGTGGCGGGATATGTTATCTGTGGTGAAGGAGTAATTCACACGATGGTCACGGAACACGATAGATAATATGCCATTAAGGTAGGCGTAGGTGTAAAAGTGGCGGACGAAGGCATCATTGCCCATTTCTCGTGGGCGAACCAATTCGGTCAATTGGGATTCCCGGAGTTGTTGGACAAAGGGGTTGTCTGGTGGGTCAAGAGGAAAGGGTCTCTCCTTAAGGAGGGGGCGCTGGTTTACTAACTTATAGAGGATGTCATAAGACAAGTCTTCCTCTGAGTCAGAGTCAGACGTGGGCAAGGGTTCAGGGCGTTTGGTGCGAGGCATTGTCCTGTAGCAACAAACAACAAAAACACTAAACACAGAACAAATAACCACAACCTAAAGAACCCAGAAAAAACCAAAATTACAACCTAGACAGTAGCAAATGGTTATATAATGATTCATAGGTTTTCAGAGGATAAAAAACTTTCAGAATTAAGTAAAGAGATTAAAGAAAAACACAATGTACCATGAATCATTAGATAACCTACAGGCTACGTAACTACAATCTAACAACAAAATAACCCAACCCAACAACACAATACCAGAACAAACAAGCTAACTAACAACTAAACAAAAATAAAAGACAAGAAAGAACAAAGGAAGAGAGAAAACATACCGAGAGGGGGAGAGAACAGGTACGCACGGCAGAGGAAGAGAAGGAGGGAACAGGAAATTGGAAGAGATAAGGGAGAAGAGAAGAGAGGGGGAAGGTGACTGAGAGGGATAAGGAGAGGGAGGGGTTCGAATGGTTGAGGAAAAGGAGAAGTCGAAGAGGGGGTTCAGAATGAGAGGGAGGAGTCGACGGTTTCAGAAAGGAAGGCTTGAGCGAAATAAAGAAGGGACCGACGGCGGTAGAATTGAATAGGTTAATGGGGGTTTAAAGGAATGGGTAGGGGAAAAGACTGAAATAGGATCAGGAGAAAAGGGTGAGTGAGTCAGAAATGGGGGTAAAGAGGGAAATTCACGTGAAAAAATAGGGAGAAAAACGAAACCGTCCAGCGCAGAAATGGCGGGTTCGCCACGGCGAACCATGCCCAAGGCGAAAACAAAGGGAGAAAAGAAGGGTTTCGCAGCGGCGAAGGTGAACGTTCGCCGCAGCCAAACCTTCCCGAGAGCAACAACAGAGACTAGCAACCTTCACCACGGTGAAATATCACTGAGAGCAACATAAGAGAAATAGAACCACTTCGCCGCGGCAAAATGTCACAGAGAGCACAGAACAATACATAAAACACTCAAACATTAGAGAAACACAACACCAAACAACAGATGAAGCTGGATACTTCAAAAACTTTAAAGTGCATCAAAAGAGATCAGAAGGTGTTCAACAAGTCCATGATTAGGCAGTATACCAAAGACAAACTTTCTCAATCAATTTGAATCATATAATTCATTACAAGCACCAAATCATCAAGCACAAAATAAGATAGGATAGAGATCAAAACTTCCAGGGAGTCTTATTGAATTCAAACAATAACTACACTACTTTCCTACTGAAAAGGGTTTCTCCCCCACACTCATTCAACATGCAATGCACAAAACATAGCAAGATCAATAATTAAGCAAAAGCATGTAAATGAGTGAAGGAAAGAAACGACCGGGGAGTTAAGGAGGCTTTTAGTTCTCATGGTAGAGCTTCAGTAGATGGCCATTAACTTTGAATCTGGCCCCGGTCTCCTCGTGTAGTAGCTCTACCATACCGAAATTGTGCGCTTTAGTGACTGTGTATGGCCCATCCTATTTGGTGTTGAATTTTCCTTGCTTGAAGGTAAATCGAGCCTTGTACAAAAGCACTCTATCGCCTTCCTTGAATTCCTTTCTCAAGATACCCCGATCATGCACAAATTTGGTCTTCTCCTTGTAGAGTCTGGAGTTCTCATAAGCTTCAAGTCTAACCTCCTCCAGCTCTTGCAATTGCAGCTTCCTTTCCATGCCAGAGGACTCTATATTCATGTTGCACTGCTTGACCGCCCAATATGCTTTGTGTTCCAGCTCCACTGGCAAGTGACATGGTTTTCCATATACTAAGCGGTAGGGAGACATGCCAATGGGTGATTTGTATGCAGTCCGGTAAGCCCATAATGCTTCTTCTAAATGTGAGCTCCAGTCCTTCTTGGATGGCTTGACCATTTTCTCCAGAATATGCTTCACTTTCCTATTAGATATTTCAGCTTGGCCATTGGTTTGGGGGTGATAGGCAGTAGAGATTTTATGAGTGACACCAAATTTGGTCAATAGGCTGTTGACTATCCTATTACAAAAGTGTGTTCCCCGATCACTCACTATAGCCTTAGGGATCCCATACCTACAGAAAATGTGTGATTTTAGAAATCTATGTACAGTTGGGGCATCATCTTTTCTGCAAGGTATAGCTTCAATCCAATTGGATACATAATCTACGGCTAATAAAATATATACAAAACCAAGGGAAGAAGGAAAGGGTCCCATAAAGTCAATTCCCCAAACCTCAAAAATCTCACAAAACAGAAGTGGCTGCTGCGGCATCTCATGTCTTTTTCCCAACCTCCCAAATCGTTGACACTTGTCACAAGATCTACAAAATGTAAAAGAGTCTTTGAAGAGGGTGGGCCAATAAAATCCTGAATCTAAGACCTTTCTAGATGTCCTCCTTACACTAAAATGACCACCACAAACCATGGAATGGCAAGCTGAAATAATAGGTTCAAAATCCTCCTCCAGCACACACTTACGTATTACTTGGTCACTGCACATCCTCCACAGATGAGGGGCATCCCAAATGTAATACTTTGACTCGCTACAAAGCTTTTGTGCCTGAAATCTAGACATAAAGGGAGGAGTGAGTCCAGACATGAGATAATTGACAATATTAGCATACCAAGGCTCTATAGTAATCACAGAACATAAAGCTGAATCGGTAAAAGAATCACAAGTCAAGTTAGAAGAGTCTACTCCCCTTGTGTCTTCTGGTAGCCTACTCACGTGATCAGCTACTTGATTCATTGCCCCGGGTCTATCCTTAATCTCAATGTCGAGCTCCTGAAGCAATAAAGCCCATCTAATCAATCTTTTGGTTTAGATTGTGGCTTTTTGAGCAAACAGCGGACAGCTGCATGATCTGTATACACAACCACTCGAGAATTGATTAGATATTGTCTAAACTTGTCTAAAGCAAATACAATGGCAAACATTTCTTTCTCAGTGGTGGTATAGTTGACTTGAGCTAGGTCAAGTGTTTTAGAGGCATAGGCTATAACTCTAGATTGCTTCTCCTCCTTCTGGCCAAGCATAGCACCCACTGCACAATTAGAAGCATCACATGAGAGTTCAAAATGTAAATTCCAGTTGGGTGCAGTCAAAATAGGAGGTGAAACAAGCATAGACTTAAGAGTATCAAAGGCATGTCTACATTTTTCATCAAAATTAAATTCAACATCCTTTTTAAGAAGAGTAGAAAGGGGCAAGGCAACTTTACTAAAATCTTTAATAAAGCGCCTATAAAACCCTGCATGCCCAAGAAAAGATCTCAAGTCTTTCAGACAAGTGGGGTAAGGCAAAGATGATATAACTTCAATTTTAGCCTTATCAACCTCAATCCCCTTACTAGAGATGAGGTGACCTAACACTATGCCATTGCCCACCATGAAATGACATTTCTCAAAGTTCAAAACAAGATTTTTGGCTATGCATCTCTCTAGAGCTTGCCTTAGGCTATTTAGGCACTGATCAAAGCTCTCCCCATAAACCGTAAAATCATCCATGAAAACCTCCATATTGTGCTCTAAGAGATCACTAAAAATCGCCATCATGCACCTTTGAAAGGTGCCTGGAGCGTTACATAACCCAAATGGCATCCTTCGATAAGCAAAGGTACCAAAGGGGCATGTGAAAGTGGTTTTGTCCTGATCCTCGGGAGCTATGGGTACCTGAAAATAGCCAGAAAAGCCATCTAAAAAGCAGTAATGTGATTTACCAGCTAGTCTCTCCAACATTTGGTCAATGAAGGGTATAGGAAAGTGATCCTTACGTGTTGCATCATTAAGTCTCCTATAGTCTATGCACACACGCCATGAGTTTTGAACCCTTGTCAGAATTAACTCATCCCTTTCATTCGTTACTACTGTTACCCCACTCTTCTTTGGCACAACATGCACTGGACTGACCCACTCACTATCAGAAATTGGATATATTATCCTAGCACTCAACAATTTAGTAATTTCTTTCTTAACTACATCTAATATGAGAGGATTCAATCTTCTTTGGGGTTGTCTCACTGGTTTTGATTCCTTATTCAGTAAAATTCTATGTGTGCACACATCAGGACTAATTCCAGGTATATCTGCTAGTGTCCAACCTATTGCCCTTCTATGCTCCCTCAACACAGATAAGAGTCTCTCTTC